GCTTTCATTTCTCTCATGCTCCCCATATCCAAAGCTGCCCATCCCATATAGTCAGTTCTAGAGTGCTACCAGTATGCAGATGATACCCAGCTACTCTTACGTCTTGAACCTGGGAAAACTGCGATTCCTGAGAACTTTAGGCTGTGTTTGGAAGCAGTGATGAGTTGGCTGCGAGCGAGCAGACTAAAAGTGAATCCTGCAAAAACTGAGATACTCTGGCCTGGCCAGCCGCCAGAATTAATCCAGTCTCTGCCTGATTTCGATGGGGAAGCTCTGGTTCCGTCTGCCACTGTTAAAAGCCTTGGGGTTGTGTTGGACTCATCGCTGACGATGGAGGCCCAGATCACTGCCATAAGTAAGCAGGCCTTTTTTCATCTTCGCCAGGCAAGGAAATTGGCATCCTACCTTTCGGTAGAAGCATTGGCAACGGTAATCCACGCAACAGTCACCACGAGGTTGGACTATTGCAATGCCTTATATGCCGGCCTTCCGAAGTCAACAACCCAGAAGATTCGGATGGTCCAAAATGCAGGCCAGGCTGCTAGCGGGATCATCTATAAGATCCCATATTACACCGATTCTGCAACAACTGCATTGGCTACCAATAGAACATCGGATCTCTTACAAGATACTGATCCTGACATTTAGAGCTCAAAATGGCCAAGGACCTTTATATCTTAGGGACCGCCTCATTCCTTTTTCCATCAGTGGTTACCTCGATCCACCCAAGAAAATCTCCTATACATACCAGGCCCTAGGGAGGTACACCTGGAAGCTACAAGGCGTAGAGCTTTTTCGACCTATGCTCCAATTCTGTGGAACTCGTTGCCTCCATACATTAGAGCAATGTCGGAGTTGCGACCTTTTGTAAAGGCACTCAAGACTTGGCTGTTTGGTTGTGCATTTAAGTAAAGTGATCAGATCTAATTTGCCAAATAGTCACTGTTGTATATTTTTATGTTGAATGTTTTTATATTGTGTAAATGCTATTTTAAATTGTAAGTCGCTCGGAGCACCTTGGTGGAGAGCGACTAATTAAGAAATAAAGTGAAGTTCTAGACTGGTCTACCTGTAGTATATCCTTCTCTTGACACTCCTCCATTGCTATAAAAGCCTATTTGCACCCTCCCTCCCCCCATTCCTCACCGTGAAAATGCATCTTCCACCAAATACCTTCCATCGTTGACAAGCTCCACTGCTTGACAACAATGCACATTCCAAGTGTATTCTATGTTCTCAAACCCCACCAGAAAGGCCTGGTTTGTGCAATGGCAGCCTAGAATTGTAAAACTGGAAGAGAATGTGTAGGGCTGTATAATGTAACCCCCTGCCACGCAAGAATGCAAAACTGCATTCTTGCGTTTGGAGCAAAATCTCAAGGAAGCAATGATCTCCCACTCCCTGAAAACCTTGTGCTTTGAACACAAGTACCACTGAAGGTTACCATTGAAGACAGGCAACAATTTTCTGAAAACAATCACAGGTTTACAGTGAACAATGGCACATGAGAAGTTAGTCCTTCCCTTCAGTACTTGTATTGGAAAGATAAGAGTGTTCCTTGCTGGGTACAAAAGTAAAAAAGGTCCTGTATATTCTTGCTGGTCATTAGAAACAATGTTTGGCTACTAAGGCCAACTACAGGCTTTTTGGCTTGGGCTTTCATTTGTTTTCTGGCAGGGTCTCAACCTGTGCATTGCAACAGGATTCAATTCTTAGTACTGGAAAGCTTCTTTCCCTCATACGAAGTGAAGTTTAAAAACAACTAGCCCGAAACCAGGTTGATCCAAGGCAGTTAAATCTCCTGAGACATCACAGCATGTATGCAACATCTGTTAAGCCCTGTACAAGATTTCAGTCTTGAAGCCTGTAATTCAAGAGTCAACTCTTGAAGAGTCAACTGAAGATTGAAGCTTTAGTTTGCCCATCTGCCAATGTTGGTTTCGAGCTTTTCATAGAATCAGAGTTGGAAGAGACCTCATGGGCCATCCAGTCCAACCCCATTCTGCCAAGAAGCAGGAATATTGCATTCAAATCACCCCTGACAGATGGCCATCCAGCCTGTTTAAAAGCTTCCAAAGAAGGAGCCTCCACCACACTCCGGGGCAGAGAGTTCCACTGCTGAACGGCTCTCACAGTCAGGAAGTTCTTCCTCATGTTCAGATGGAATCTCCTCTCTTGTAGTTTGAAGCCATTGTTCCGCGTCCTAGTCTCCAAGGAAGCAGAAAACAAACTTGCTCCCTCCTTTTGCTTAAAAGCTATGCAGTGATGAACCAAGACTGCTAGAATCAGTGTGTGTTCAGACATCAAGAGAGCTTTCCAGCGAATCCATATAGATGTAGCAGAACATTGGATGCCCCAAGTCACATATGTGACAAACTCAAGGCGTGGAGCCCAAATGTGGCTCTCCGTGTGATATTATGTGGCCTTCCAGATGCTGGACTGCAGCTCCTGTATTCATCACTAGCCGTCCCCTGTCACATGTTGCTGTGGCCCACATGGGGGTTCTGTGTGGGAGGTTTGGCCCAATTCTATCGTTGGTGGGGTTCAGAATGCTCTGTGATTGTAGGTGAACTATAAATCCCAGCAACTACAACTCCCAAATGTCAAGATTCTATTTTCCCCAAACTCCACCAGTGTTCACATTTGGGCATATTGAGTATTCGTGTAGAGTTTGGTCCACATCCATCATTGTTTGAGTCCACAGTGATCTCTCGATGTAGGTGAACTACAACTCCAAAACCAAAGGACACTGCCCACCAAACCCTTCCAGTATTTTCTGTTGGTCATGGGAGAACTGTGTGCCAAGTTTGGTTCAATTCCATCGTTGGTGGGGTTCAGAATGCTCTTTGATTGTAGGTGAACTATAAATCCCAGCAACTACAACTCCCAAATGACAAAATCAATTTTTTTGAGTGAAGGACATACATTGGGTTGTTAGGTGTATCGTGTCCAAATTTGGTGCCAATTCATCCAGGGGTTTTTGAGTTCTGTGAATATCACAAACGAACATTACATTTTTATTTATATAATTACTCATCATGACTAGAGATTATGGGAGTTGAGATACAGTAACATCTGGAAGGCTGCAGTGTGTTGTTTAGCCAGGAAAGTGAGGTTTGGATTTGGCTACAAGCCTTATTTGGCTACAACCTCAGAGCCACAAGTGCTGTCATGTTGCAATTCCCATCATTCCCACTCCACATGGTGTTAGGAATTGTGGGAGTTGAAGTCTAAAACACCTGGAGAGCCGAAGTTTGTCCATGCCTGCTCAAGAAACATGGCTTGATATCCAGTATCTTGTTTATCAAACAAGATACTGGATATGAGAAAAGTGATGAAAGCTGAATACTACCTACTGGGTATACTGGACTTCGAAATCGAAAAGAATAAGGACACATAGCAACGGCGGCGAGAATTGTTTTAGCCAGGGAATGGAAAAATAAAGAGATACCAACGGTGGAAGAATGGATGCTCAAACTTTTAGACATAATGAACATGAATATATTAACACAGTGTATGAAAAACAAACAAGACGACCTGTGTAAATAAAACGGACTGGTCCCCAGTCAAAAAATACTTCCAATATCAACCAGACATAGACATGCGAGAGACAAGACCAGAAGACAATACTAACACTAATAATGCTATATGGGGTAAAATCAGTAATTAAGAGCACTAACTCTCCCCGCCTCACTTTTCAACCCTTGCACACTCCTTCTTTCCCCCCCTTTTTATTTTTATTACCCATACCCCCCCCCCAAACCTTACCCAACACATCCCTCTGGGCTCTTTTTTTAATTATAAGGTATGTCGATGATTGACATCCCTTCGATGTATCCCCTATCTAAAAAACCTTTAATAAAAATTATTAAAGAAGTTGAGGCAGAAGTGGCAGAAGTTGAGCGAGGCCTCCTTGCTTTCCATTAAGACCACCACTCACAAATTACAGGGAAAACCAGCTGATCCCCAAGCCATCTAAAACACAGACATGTGCCTTTCATCACAAGAACAGACAAGCATCCCGAGCTCTGAATATCACCTGGAAAGGAATCCCACTGGAGCAATGCAGCACACCCAAATACCTGGGAATCACTCTGGAACGTGCTCTTACCTACAAGAAGCACTGCCTGAACATCAAGCAAAAAGTGGGTGCTAGAAACAATATCATACGAAAGCTGACTGGCACAACCTGGGGATCACAACCAGATACAGTGAAGACATCTGCCTTTGCGCTGTGCTACTCTGCTGCTGAGTATGCATGCCCAGTGTGGAACACATCTCACCACACTAAAACAGTGGATGTGGCTCTTAATGAGACATGCCGCATTATCACGGGGTGTCTGCACCCCACACCGATGGAGAAATTACACTGCTTAGCCAGTATTGCACCACCTGACATCCGCCGGGAAGTAGCAGCCAATAGTGAAAGGACCAAGGCAGAGACATCTCCAGCTCATCCCCTGTTTGGGTATCAGCCAGCACGTCAATGACTTAAATCTAGAAATAGTTTTCTAAGATCTACAAAGACACTCGCTGGAACACCTCAGCAAGCGAGAGTCCAAAAGTGGCAGGCTCAATCCCAGAACCTCAACCAATGGCTGATACCAAATGAGAGACTCCCTCCTGGAGGACTGGGCGACTTGGAAGGCGCTGAACATACTGCGCTCTGGCACCACGAGATGCAGAGCCAACCTTCAGAAATGGGGCTACAAAGTGGCATCCTCGACATGTGAGTGTGGAGAGGAGCAAACCACTGACCACCTGCTGCAATGCAACCTGAGCCCTGCCACATGCACAATGGAGGACCTTCTTGCAGCAACACCAGAAGCACTCCAAGTGGCCAGATACTGGTCAAAGGACATTTAATCAACTACCAAGCTTGCAAATTTTGTGTTTTGTCTGTCTGTTTGTTTGTTTTGTTCTGTTAGAAATGTAATACAATTGTCTGGTTGCCCCTGACATGATAGATAGATAGATAAATAAACCACTCACAAACCAGCTGGTTCTACATATTTTATTGGGTTTAGAACTGGACAAATCACAAGTGTACAAAATGGGAGACCACACTATCAGAAGCAAAAGATTGTGGGCTGCAGCAGCATTTCTATTGATCCAATCAAAAGCTTTTGGTAGAACAAAGCATTAAGTGTGACTGGGCAAAAGAAGAGGTTAAGAGGTGGAGAAAAGAATGCAGGAGAGGAATGATTTACTGGCCAAATGAGACAACTATTCCTGTGCAGTGCACTGACAAGGTCAATTTGCTTTCAAGTGGCTGTCACGTTTGGGTTTTCGTGGTTTGGGGTGGGCTGAAGATGGGAGGAAGGGGTTTTCTCAGTGCTCAAAGGACCATGCCCTCCAAGGCCGTGAAGTGTTGTGCTACCATCCCCGGACCAAAGAGGAGAAGCCAACACTTGGTCTTTTTGGTCACTAACCTTCCCAGAGTAGGGTTCCATGTTAAGGAGGGGGAGAAAACCAAAGGAAATGGGGCTGTGGGAGAATGGTGAGCCTCACTCTTGCTGCATAGCAACAATCACAACAGCAACAGCATGTACAGGAGCCAGAATTAACTCAAGGTTTGTCCAGCCTATGGTTCTGAGGTCTATTCTACTAGTACATGTGCACAAGAACTTCCAGAAATACTAGGATATGATGCAAGTAGTGACAACAGAAGAGTTGGGGAGGGGGTTATCACAGGGTGGATGTTCCCTAGAATGACCACAAAGGGGAGTTGGTTAGGCGGGCCCTTTTATACCCGGGACAGAAGCAAGAGGCACCTGGCTTCAGCTGCAACTCCAATAAGTAACTGAAACCAAAGCAGATGCCAGGGTCCTTTTTTCAGGGAGGAGCTGCAGGAGTCCAGCTTCCAGCCTCTGTACGGAGGAGGGGCCACGAAATGCTCTTCAGCTGTACTTTTGAGACCGAGGGAGGCTGGGAGGAGGAGGAGGTGGAGGGAGCCAACCAACCGGCTGCAGAGGGCTAGCACCTCGTCTCGTAGATCCCGCTCCTGCCAATATACCTCACCCATTTGATCACATCATGGTCACTATAGTTCAGCTTTGGCTCAAAGACTTTCAGGTAGCGGACCTTCAGCCCTGAGGGTGCAAATGGGACCTGCATCAAGAAAGGGGGGAAAAAGAGGATGAGGATGGAAATTTTGTAAGGAGTCAATCAAAACAAAAGCTAACCAGTCTTCTTGGATAATCCCCTAACACCCAAACACCTCCTAAAGATCTTACTTTTGATAACCTTAGAATCATAGAGTTGGAGGAGACCTCGTGGGCCATCCAGTCCAACCCCCTGCCAAAAAGCAGGAAGATCACATTCAAAGCACCCCTTACAGATGGCCATGCAGCCTCTGCTTAAGTTTTATTTATTTCTAGATCTATTGGCTTACCAGCCAACCCCTTTCCAATGCCAGAGATACAGCTTAATGGTGTAACATTAGAAAATGTTGATCATTTCCTCTACCTTGGCAGCCACCTCTCCACCAAAGTCAACACCGAAATACAACACCACCTGAGCTCTGCGAGTGAAGTAGAGAGTGAAGCAGAGTGTTTGAGGACCGGGACATCCCGTAGGGATACCAAGGTTCTTGTTTAAAAAGCTATTGTCCTCCCAACCCTGCTATATGCCTGCGAAAGAAGGACTGTCTACAGACATCACATGCAACTCCTGGAACGATTCCATCAGTGCTGCCTCCGGAAAATCCTGCAAATCTCTTGGGAAGACAGGCGGACAAACGTCAGTATGCTGGAAGAAGCAAAGACCACCAGCACTGAAGCGATGGTCCTCCGCCATCAACTCCGCTGGACCAGCCACGTTGTCCGGATGCCCGACCACCATCTCCCAAAGCAGTTGCTCTACTCCGAACTCAAGAACGGAAAACGGAATGTTGGTGGACAGGAAAAGAGATTGAAAGATGGGCTCAAAGCCAACCTCAAAAACTCTGGCATAGACACTGAGAACTGGGAAGCCCTGGCCCTTGAGCGCTCCAGCTGGAGGTCAGCTGTGACCAGCAGTGCTGCAGAATTTGAAGAGGCACGAATGGAGGGTGAAAGAGAGAAAAGTGCCAAGAGGAAGGCGTGTCAAGCCAACCCCTACCGAGACCGTCTTCCACCTGGAAACCAATGCCCTCACTGCGGAAGAAGATGCAGATCAAGAATAGGGCTCCACAGTCACCTACGGACCCACCGCCAGGACACCAAACTTGGAGGACCATCATCCTCAGACTACGAGGGATCGCCTAAGTAAGTAAGTAAGTTGGCTAATTCCAGGGAAGCTTTTACAACTGAAGATGAGGGAAAGGTTCTGAACATGCAGGTTACTTGCAGTTCTGGTGTCCTTCCTCAAATAATTCTGATGAGCTTTCCCACAGGAAGATGTGTGAATCAGTTGACCATCATGAAAAGCAAGATTCTCTTAATGCAAATACTTTCAATACAATTCCAAAGCCTCCTCAATCTTCCTGCTGTCTTAACTCCGGCATTAATTCTGGAATGGCACAATTGCCAGCACAGGTCAGCACGGCAACGCCTTGAATCAAGGAACAGCTTCCTACGGTCTACAGAGATACTTGCAGGAACACCTCAGCAAGCAAGAATGGCAGGCTAAAACCCAGAATCTCAATCCATGGCTGATACCGAATGAGAAACTCCGTCCTAGGCACACAAAAGACTAGGAGACTTGGAAGGCACTGAACAGGCTGCACTCTGGCACCACGAGATGCAAAGCCAACCTTAAGAAATGGGCCCAAAAAATGGAGTCCACAACATGCAAATGTGGAGAAGACCAAACCACAGACCACCTATTAAAATGCAGTCTGAGCCCTGCCACATGCACAATGGAGGCTGGAGAGACTTCCAAATAAGGAGCAGGATAGTGAAGGGAGAGAGATGCAAATACGGTAGTAGCAATGAACAATACAAGCTTCAGACTCATCTCCTGAACTTTTTTTAAAAAAATGTATAAATCAACCTTCTATGCCTTGCCCTTTCATTTCTACAGCAACTTTCTAAATTCATGCCTCCTGACCTTACTGAAGATAGGACTAGGCAATCCCCTAATTTGCAGTAACACATTTCCTCAACTAGATATCCAGAGGAGGACAATGTCTGTCTCCTACCTCAAAGTTCATGGAGATCGGTGGCCGAGCCCATTTTTTCTTGTCATTGGTTGGAAGCAGTTCAATTTCGGCGCTGATCTGGGACTCCTTCATTCCAGCCATGCGTTTAATTCTAAGTATCAAGGAGAAAGGAAAATGATCTCTAAAGCCTGTCACCAGACCCACCAGAAGGAAGGCACAAGACAAGCACTAAGCTGCTGAAGAAATGTGCCAGGCCTTCCCACTTACTTCCAGACAATGGCGTTCTCGCTGGCCTTGTATTTCGCCTTCCCTTTCATGCAGATGACTTGCACTCCACTGGTGTTCAGGGGGGTTGGGATTCGCACCTGGAAGAGAAAAGATCATGGAATCTCATCTGGCTGTTTGTCAGCAAAGTGAAGTGCCTACACAGCCAAGAGTTTCTCACACACATTCCTGCAGTCATCCTGCCCACTCTGGAATGTACTCACGCCTAAGCCAGTCTTACCTCTATCTTCTGAGCCAAGAGCGAAGGCTTGAAGTTGGACTTGATCACCACTTTCACCTCCAGCTTGGTGCGGCCCACTTCCCGTACCAGGGGGATCACTCGGAAGGGCAGGATAATGTCCTTAGTGGTTCGGTACCTGAGGGACAGGAATGAATACCTTTTATAGGGATGGAGGGGGAATATACCAGTAGTACAACAGTAAGTATTGGAGGCATCCATTTCAACTGTAATACTGCCTGATTTTTACAGATGCAATGGTACTGAGTGGTCCATTTAATGTAGCTTGATGATTTTCTCATACTATATTTAGGTGATAAGCAGGTGTTTACTCTGTAGATCTTAAGCATTCATAATTTGGGACATTACTGTTGTTCACATAAATACCAGCTATTTCTATCACAATATTTTGGTCTTGCACTTACTTGAAAGGATAAAGCTGTGTCTATTTGTAGTCATAACAATAAATATTAATCAATGTTAGACATCCCACATATCAAATTATAGGAAGTAAGATGGATACCATCATGTCAAATCAGCTATGTGGGAGGGATAAAATGATTCAACACTCTGAAGCTGTGTTTTGGCCTTAACTTTAAACATTTGCCACTTTGATCACTTCACCTGTCAACATCTTTCAACAGCACGTTGGTTTCCACAACTCCTTACTTTGACAAATAACGTTCTTCTTACTTTACATTACATATTGGTCAATGTTTTTTTTTAGAAATGGAACAGTTCCCTCAAAAAGAGCCATTTCTATAGTGTTCAATGATCTGAAAAGACATTTTGGGAAGATGCATCTACCCACCATCTTCTTGATCATTATATTCATAACTGAGATGGGATTGTTTCGAACATCTAGGAGTAAGAACAATGACAATTTGTCTTGCCTACTCCTAAGTGTTCGAGTGAACAGGTACAAAACTCTTTGCATGACACGGAAAGCCTGTTACCACAGTCAAGAGCTACTGGCATCCAAGTCCCATACAATATAATATAAATGGGTTCCTGAATAACAAGTGTGAAGACTTAACAAATTTCTTTGAGTACATTTTAGTATAAGATGTTCTATATGTATGCAACTGGAGCAAAATATTGATTTATACATTAATTTCAGTCCACCAGAAGAAAGCCTGAAGTAAGGCCGAAACCGGTCGTGGACGGCTGATCTATAAGCTACTCAACATAAGAAGATACGACATTGATATTATTCTAAAGAGACTGTACCAAGATTTACATAATAGTGTTTGACATCACTGTGAAATTGAACAGTACAATATGTCTATATAACTGCTTGTTGAATTCCATTATTGTTTTGATATTATTCTAAAGAGACTGTACCAAAATTTACACAATATTGTTTGACATCACTGTGAAATTGAACAGTACAACATGTCTATATAACTGCTTGTTGAATTCTATTATGGTTTACTCTATATATGTGTATTTTTGTTGTATGTATCCAAGTCCCATACCTCATTAGTTCGAACTCTCCATCGGGAGGTATGAAGCTAATACTCCGCTCCGAGTCAAACTTGCTGAGCCTCACACACTGATGGAAGGTGCAGTCATCAATAGCAATTGACTGTTTCCCACTATGGAACAAAAACAGAAGGAGAACCATGACCAGGAGTTGATGCTAGGGTGCCCTTGGGAGAAGGGGTGGGCAAGTGCAGCAGTGTTCAGGCTCCCTGTTGCAACAACTAGTCTGCTGACAGCGCTCTGCCATCGTAGACCCAGACGTGAAGCAACAGAGGCAGGGAGGGAGAGCAAGCCAGAGACCTGCCACCACTACGGGACTCAATCCATCTCCTCCAGCCCACAAGGTTGCTTGCCCCCCAAGACACAAGAGAGAGATGTATTTGCTGTTGTCCACTGGGGAGAACTGCACACAGGCTCACTTCTGTTCTGCCTACAGCAGGACACGACATCCCTGCTCAAGACCTTTCCTTTTCAAAGAGTATTCAGGGAGGGATATAGGGAAACTTTCTGTTCAGAAATGTATGCAACACAAATCAGAGGCACTCTTCAGCTTCTTCCTTCTGCAGTCAGATATAGCTGCAATGACTTTGAGAAGCAGAAGATATCCCCTCTCAGAGATGGCAATATTTAGCCCCTGAAATTTATGGGCACTTATTACGCACCCAGTTTGGTCATTTATCTCAGCATTTGCGCTAAATGGCAGGAAGATCCCTCTCCTTGCAAAGAGAAAAGTTCAGAAACAACACAATATCAGCAACATCTTATTTTTCCTCTTTTGCTAAGGGCATGGCAGCAAGTAAAGGACTCAGACACTGAAGTACAGCAGAGTGGCTGAGTTTTACAGGGCATTGAAGTGAGACCCAAGATACAGAATGAGCAAAAGAAGCAACTTCCTTTGTGCACATGTTGATCAGGCTGTGTTTCAAGGGGATGCTGGATGGATACTCAGACCTTTACTTCTGGCTGAAAATGAAGGATTGACTTGGACAGCATGTCTATGAATTTAACCCCCCCCCCCCCCAAAGATGAAGTAAATGGCCAAAATATCCTAATGGCACCAGATCCTGGAAGCTAAGCAGAGCCAGAACTGGTTATGACTTGAATGGGAGACCACTAATGTCTCCCAGATGCTGTAGGCTATATTTCAAAGAAAAGAACTGGTAAAACCAACTCTGAGTATTCTTTGTCTAAGAAAACTCTGTGGAACTCATGGGTCATCATAAGATAACAAGAAATCTGAAGGGACATACACAGCATTTATATTCTACTCTTCTATTTGAAAATTAAGCCATCTCACAAAGGTAATGAAATTGCTGCTTTAGCAAGGGAGCCTAGAGCACAATACAGATCTATCATTTCAAGGGGACAAGAAGGAAAAGTTTCATCAATTAATAACCTGGTCAGTTTGAATGACTGGTGGCTCTGACCCAAGGAAACCTGAGTTCTCATAACAGATTTTGAAGAGAGGCCTCACCACAAGAGACTACTTTTACCCCCTTTTATGTTAGGCTCTCTTATGAGGTTCCTCTTTTGCTTTTGCACCCTGAAAGGAGCGAGGGGTTCCTGTACTATCTCACTACTGAGCTAACACAAGAAGCCAACTGCAGCCTTTACGAGGTATAGCCATCCCTACAATGAAGCCTGAAGAACCTCACCCAGCTGACTCAGGTCTGCTCCTGTGCTAGCTGGATGGGAATGCAATACTCCAAATGGGTTTGGTTCCCAGGAAAAAGCAAGTGGCAGCTCAGCCTTCAATCACAGGCGTGACCTGTGTGGAAGTGTCTAAAGATGGTGGCACATGCACAAGTCACACCAAGCAAAATAGATGGGGGAGGGGGAAAGAGTGCGTGCATACAGCAGTAAGCAAATTATCTACCTTCCTGTTTCACTGGAGTCAGCAGAACACAAAAGAAAAAAAAAAGAATTCAGTAAAAAAAAGATGGTTAGGAGGGAGTAAGGAGGGCCTTAGAGATACCTACACAAACTCAGGTGATCCATTTCAAATAGAGCCCCACACACTACTATACTGGGGTTGAATTTGGCACATGAAAGGGGAGTAGACAAATGTTGAATGCAGTACCATTCCCCATCACCCCAATCTCTAGCCCCACAAATGGCTATTATGCAACATATGATTCTCTAACATAATTTAGGGGCAGGGGAGAGAGGAAGAAATTTAATGGCTCTTTTGCTTTCCAGACTCATGATATATATGAAGATCTAGAAAAGAATAGCCCATTCACCAATCAAACTAACATGGGAATAACGAACTGAACTACAATGAAGCTTTGTTGGTAACTGGAGTTGAAATAAATGATTTCTACTCTTCATTTCCATACTTCAGAAACTTTGAGGTGGCGGTAGCAGCAAGGCTAGATAATCAATCTCGCAAGAGAAGAGCTGTCTATCTAAGCAGGATAACAAAATAAAATTTCCATAGGAAAGCAAGAGCATCTTCCCATATTTTGTTGAGGAGGTTGGAACAAGGCAGAGATGTTACTGATATTTACACATAATCTTGCCATATCAACTGAAACCTGAAGCCATATGCCCCCTTCTTACCTTTTCCCTGTTTCATCTGCAGTCCCTTTGCCTTGTTTCTCAATGACAATTTTGTCATTCATGCCAAACTTGCACTCTGGCATCCCACTGAGATAGCTCTTCATCACTACCCTGCCAGAGACATGGGCACTCAATACCTGACCTGGAAAAGAGAAGTACAAATGATGTAAGTGGAAGGGAAAGTGTCTTGAATCATCTCTAAATTTAGTGATGTGGGAAGGCACTCCGCCTCGCTTACCTTGTGGTGACATTAGCAAGTTCACACTTTCGAGGACATCCAGGAAAAGTTCATTGCGGCGGTATTTTATGCCTTCACGCCTCCAACCGATCTGACCAGTCACTTGGCTAGTAATCTGAGACTGTTCTTCCTTAGTCTGAAGGAGAGAGTGGGGGTGGTCCATTCTTAGGTCAGGAGCAACTTCACAAACTCTTAAATACTGCTCCCACCAAATATATGCAACAGTACGCCATTTATGTCACAAATCCCACAGTAGGCAATATACTACCAGTGTGAAGTACATTACCCTCTATTAGTTAAGGTAATTAATTTGTATGACAAAAATACTGAGGGCTTCAGATTTCAAAATTTCCAAGCTCACCAGGTTAGGGAAGTGTTTGCTGTAATTAAAGGATAAGTTCTACCCTCCCAAATGCCATGGATGCGGGCATAAACTGGGAGCAGCAGAAAGGAGGGAAAAGATTTGGAGATGTATTAATTCCAGTACAGTAATACTTGCTCCCACCTCCCAATTATTTGTTTCCCACCCACAACAGGTTATGCTATTCATGCACTAGGATAGTCAACTGGGTCCCAATCCAGAACTCTGTACAACATCAGTTTTCTTAAGAGATCACTAAGGGGTACTTGGGAAGTACAGCTTGTTCTCCTACCTGGTGCTATAGGCAGGTCCAGTCACGCGCAGAAAGCAGGAAAAACAGATGTATAGCGGCAAGCGCAGCAAACACACGGGGTTAGGAGGCAAGCAGGTCAGTAGAAGGGGAGGAGGAAGAAAGATGAGCATTAGGCTTGAGACAATCACAGGCACTACAAAGCTTTTCATCTGCTCTACTAACAAGGCTGAAGGAAAGGGTATTTTGCTGAATTAAACAAAAGTAAGACTCATCCGCAAGGAGGGGGAGTAATCTAAGTAGTACTACTAAGGCTCACTAAGCCTGGTAAACTACACCAAGGCCTGTGTCTTATGCAAGTTCCTGCCATTTGAAGGAAGCACTTCAAATGGAAGATGAATGTGTTTTGGTTACAATTTTATGACACTCAGGACCATGTGAACATTCACACAGGAATTGATTCTATAGCATGGGGGAAGTATGTTAATTCAAACCAGATAAAATTATTAGTTGATTTGTCAGGCACTAAACTTCCAGTCAAACTCTCTTCTTGCTTTGGCCCACTCAGTAATAATATTGAACGATTATCAGCTTTTCAAATCACAAAGAACTGCACAATATATTAATCAACTATACAACTAATGTCTGACTACCAGAAGCTTTACTAGGTTACCATTACCTCAAGCCTCTACCCTCAAATTTCACATTTTCTGGAGGAATCACACAACATGAGGAGGGGAAATCAATCCTCCAGGTTACAGTTCAATCCACTATTTAATATAACAAACAACATGCATGACGCCATAACTACTCTTTATACTGATTCCCTGCACCTGAGACTCCTTTATGTATCCTGAAGTGGAAGAGCAGAAGAAAGGATTCTAGCCAACCATTATTCCAGTTCCTATGGGCAATTATTGTGACTAATTGCAATGTTCTCATACCGTTGGGATTACTCTCCTTCTGAGTCCAAGTTACACTAAAACACAAATAACAAAGCCACAATACTCTTGCCTTGTTCTCTCCAGCTTGTAACAGCTTCTCTACTTGGATTTTTATCTATTTTGCATAGAACAGCACTATATTCATTATAGTTCTCTTTATTAGATGTTATAAGAAACTAGGCAAAAAGCCAAATAGTCAAACTTTTCTGAATTCTCCAGAAACACCAGGTCGCTACTATCTCTTGGAGTTCAACTCCATAAGTGTTGGGAGTACAGCTCCAAAGCATCTTGATATTAAACATAAAGGAAGGATATGAGATGTTTTAGAACACATTGAGATGTTAGGAATTTGAGTCCGTTACTTTTAAAGCTTGCTGGATCTACAATATCTTGGAGGTCTCCAACTCCATTCTCCTTCCCCAAGTCTGCCATCTGAGTGACACAACGGACCACACCTTGGTGGAACTCTTGCACTCTGGATCTCTCTCAATTTTAACATGTGTTTTAATAATGGAGTACTGAGAGCATTTTGGTATTGCTTAAGTTTGTGACGTTCCATTTTGTTTGTATAAATATCTTTCTATCTATCTGTTTATTTCAAGCAGCTGAAAGGACCCTGTTGAAGGGTAGCTCTTCATTTCACAGCTGGAAGACAGCATCTTCCACTAGGCTACTGCTAACTCGCACTTAAATAGCAAGTTGTTCAGGCCTTAGCAATTGAATGAAGTTTAAAAGGTTTGCTGCTTAGTAAGTGGCCCATGACCCCATGGAGAGAAGAGGAAGGGAAAAGAAGTCAGGCCCCTGAGTGTATTACATTCAGAAAGGGGAATTAACTCCAATGAAACAAACATTTTTTGTTCCTGAAGCTAGATTCCTCTAGCAATGTATAAATGACTAAAAGGCAATCTAAGCAGGAATGCAGGCTCAAGGAAATGCTTGAATCATTTCTCAAACTCAGCAAATTTAGCCTATTGTAAAGAGACAACACCCTTTTCCTGTTCAGTTACAAAACTGTAGAAAACAGCTATCACATCTGGCCCTATAAACTTCCTCAAAAAATAAACTTCAGTTCTATCGGGAAATGGGCTGAAGGCCTCAAGACTAGCCCAAAGCATTTGATTGTGGGGAAAATTGTAGGATTCATGGCCTGTTGCAAGACTCCTCTATAAATTAAGCAGAAAGAAAAGTACTGACTGGTGGAAGCGCTGTACAAACTTTTCAGGATATCCCCATTTGTATTTCTTTCAATGGCCTCTTGCACAATCAGTCCTACAAACTAGATACTCACGTAGAGTGATATATAGGCTGTTCTGTGTGGACTGAACCATCAACTCAACAGTCACATTTAGACAACTAAAAGGGATATTTATCACCCACCTAAAACCATGGGAATGAAACCATCACTAGAAACAGGCAAGTAGCAACTTTTCCCAAATTATCTTCTACAAGAATCAAGTTGTGAAGAAACCTGGGGGTTTAGAAATGCTGATAATTTCAATATAGAACAGAGTGACACCTCTGGCAGGACCACTCAATCTACCCAGATTGAGTCAGCATGTGATGAAGTATTCATTTCTCCCATGATCCTATAGTTGCAGCTACACTCTCTCCATGTAAGATACAAGATGATCCTCTGAAGGAAGAACAATTCACACTTGTGAACCATTAATTCAGACAGAGGTGCAAACTCTTGAAAGATGAGACTCCTTCATATGCTAACTTTGCTTCTGACTTAAATGAAAGGATATAATCCTATAGAAAAGAGTCTAAATTGCACAAGCCTCCTCACAAATGAACAAGCAGCCTTCTATTTGTTGCTTGTCATCCTCTATCCTTAGCTAGCAGACTTACATGAAAATGATGGCAGACACATTTGCCTGATACACTAATAATTACTCCAGAACCCCTCTCTTCAGAACACATACTCTATATTGTTATTTCCAGCAGGTTCGAGTGATCTAGGAGCTGCTTCAAACTGCACTGAGAAAAGTACAGTTCCCAAGAGGAGTAGTACAAGTTGTGCAGAATTTAAGTCAAGTCACTAAGTTAATTTAGCAGCCCTCCGCTTCCATCGTTCTGCTCTTCATATCTTATCTGTTTCAGATAAGCATGCCACAGCCAATCCCTGGCACGCCACACAAATATAGCTTTTTGGAAGCACAATCCAGATTGCAATGCTAGACTTCTATTTCAGCTGTTGCCAACATTTACCCATTACCAGCCCCAAAACTGTTCTTTTTTTTCTATTTATGCTGTATAATGTCCTTCCACTGAAATGTTTCCCACAAGTTTTCCAATAAGACAGGTCTAGAAGAGAGGTGGCACAGTTTTTAGTTAGTGCTTCTGTTTATGTTGTCACAATTGCTAAAACCATTGAGATTTACCTAGAATGCAAAAGCTAACACTTCAACTACCAGGCTCAAAGGTTGCCTGGTGAGAAGCACACAAGCCGGTGATCTGGAACATGGGCAACAAGGGCCTGGATGCCTTTTTGGAACTATGAAAAAGCAAGCTAATATTCAAGCCAAGTGATTATATTGTGTTTTGAGAATCAACCCCAGTCACCTACCCACACAAAATATGTATGAGGAAAATGGAGAGTTTATTGAATTGTGATAATCTGATTATATGTATAGCAAGTGATGGAGTTGGGCTGGGGTACAGCCTCTGGGAGTTGCATGTGCAAGTTTCCCTTATGTACTATGCTATCAAATCAAATCATTTATTTCGGTCATTGAGCAGCACAGGAAATAGAGTCACATTTTCATACAAACTTGGTATGTTTGGTACATTAAAAATATAAATATACTGCTGAATAAATATACTATGTACTATGCTATGTTCTAACTTTTCAATATGAAGTTGTATCAATTAGCATTTCTCCTTAAGATGTTTAGAGCACAGTCAATGCACAAACTTTCTTTTGCCCTTACCTGGCTCTTGATTCCTTGCTGGGTGATGAATGTTTTCAGCGCTCCTGTCTCGGAATTCTGAGGGTAACCAAAGTCCAGGATTTCTACAGAAGGGTAAAAAGTTATCAGGGAAAGATGATCCCAGAATGGCTGGCTAAGGAACAGCAACCAATGCTTACACAACAGCCATACCCACAATTTACTCAAGAGGTTCCAAACAATTCATCTTATCACATTTGAGAGTGATCCCATCAGAGACTATTAGTGTGAAGATACCCTTTAATCAGCAGAAATTATGACAAGGAAAATGTTTTAAGAGGATGGAATCCAGGCATCCAAGGGAACCTGCTCTGAAGCAGGGCAATCCAACAGCAGCAGAATAATCTATCTTTGCAGCATTTTCTTTAGGTTTTGATTTTCGCATGAGGATGGCATAAAAATCAAAACCTAAAAAAACAACAGCAGAGTAGCAAGTGTCGCAGGGCAGGTAGGCCGATCAGCCAAGCTTGGGGAAAAGAAAACTGCCATTAGATGCCCACTCCAGGAGAGGGGAGAACTAGTCTCTCAGGATCCTGATCCAGACCTGCAACATTAAGACAGTGTGACGCTGCGCTTATTAATAGGTTCTTTTTAGCCTGCAGCAAGATGCAAATCAGTAACTTTCTTCTTCTCCTGAACAGCTTTCCTTAAGAGCTGAAGGGATGCTTATGAATTCTGACACATTAAGATTGATAATTCCTGGAACCTTATTATAACATGCTCAAAATAACATGTTGGTAAGCAGTGACTAAATCACAACTAAGATTAAGAACACTTCTAATTATCTAAAAACAGCATTAAGAATTAAATGTCCTACAACAACCCATGGATTCCGGCAATGAAAGCCTTTGACAATACAATTAAAAGAGTGTTTGCACTAGACTATACTAATCTTTTAGTTCACAAGCTTTTAAAAAATAGTAAATATGAGCAAGGGGAAGGCTAAGCATGCAAATGTTGGATGGTTTAAAACCAACAGCATGTTCTGGGTCTATTAATACAGTGTCACTAAAGAAGCTACTGCTAATCAGTAAAGTGACCATCTAACAATGGCTTTGAACTGAAACCTGCCCTCAGCATTGGGGCTCTTGTTAGAGCAAATATCCTCAGATTGGTGAAAAAAATTCTGGTGCATAAAAGTAACAGGACTGGATAAGCATACTGGAATAAAGTATATATAGAACATCTAATAACAGAAAGATGTATCAGGTGAAAGTAGACTACAAAAAGTGTCTCCTAGTACAACCTTGACAAATTTGTTAATCATTGCCTTAGTGCATACTTCTAGCATTTTGTTCAGAAAGCAGAATTCAATCTAACAGGGTTTTTTTTTTTGCCATGGAGGCCCATCATAAAATTAACATTAGATTTTCAGTCTGCAACCCAGTTCTGCACATAATATGACTTACAGAACATTGAAATTTTGGCTGTAAATCTTCACATTTGACAGGCAGACATATGCACCTGTGGGAGATCAACAACAACTCCACACCTTTATTTTTTTGCAGAAGTACAAGAGGAGACTGTAGAGAAGGTTTGTACTTAGCTATTCTCTTCCCTTCACTTTGCTAGCTGCATCAGTTTATTTTAACTCCAGTACAAAATGAAAATAATTGTAAGGGTAACTATGTAGACACTGGAATGTTTAAACCAACAGTATGTCCTGTGTCTACTAAGAATACTTAAGCATCTTATCCCGTACAGGAAACCACATAATGTCATTTACGGACTCCTTTTATTAACCAAATTCCCAAAATATAGTCAGAATCACTCATCCTCACCATCCAGAAGCTCGTAGATGAGCACAAAGTTGTTCTTGATGTTCTCTTCACTGATCTTTCCAAAATAGGCAGTCATCACATCACACATCTTGTAGAGGAACTCAAAAACCATGGCAGCGTTGACATTTTGCTTGGTGACAGCAGCCAGCCAGATATTGGAACGTTTGACATGGAAGAAACTGGTTCGGGCAATGTTGGTGACAGGTGAGCGCACCTGTTGCCGCGCATGGATGACATTGACTCGGAAGGCATCCACTGCATTCCGCCTGTAGGATTGACATATGATAGGGTAACAAAACTGAGAGGCCAAAAATACTAAGGAACAGTAAGTTATACACCACACTACTAAGTTGTCTACTGTAGTTCTGTAGAAGAAACAAAAACCTAGTTCACAGGCACTGGAATGTTCATTCGTTCCTTTGAATTGAGAAGACTCACTCTGAGTCTGATTACATATATAGCCAACAGAATAACCTGAGTTTTAAACAGAAACTTACATCTACTCTTGCTGTAAACCAAGTTTTTTTAACGGACAGTACCTGTGGCATGTAACAACTCCCATAGTCAAAGATGTATGTTCCAAGCCTTCGCCCCCTTCCCCGATACCTGAAACCTTGGGTAATAGTGAATCCTATATTTTTACTGTAAGTAGGTCAGGAACATAGCATAGAATTGCACCTGAGATCCTAGAGATGCCCAAAAATACCTCAGGGGAGGGGGAACAATACTTTTGGAGTATAGGTAAGTGAAGCTGTGGATATTGAATATGTGGATAAAGGGATCATACTGTACCACAAGTTGAACAGCACTGCTATACGCAACACTATGATGGAATAGGGGACGAAGGTTCAGAAATCGAACCAGGGCAAGGAATCTACTTCTTGAGGAGAACTTTGATCAGAAAGTTGAACGAATTATATCCTAAATGATACCATTCATGGGAGTTTGCCCAGGTAACTCATTTGGTCCTTTTCAAGCTAGGATACCTGGTCGGACAAATGTAACTACTTGATTCTGAGAAAGCAGACTTGGAAAACAACAGCAATGTCTTCCATTTGCCATATAATGCTTTCATGTACTGAAATGTGCAATTTCTCATAATGCATGCAACTGCCAGAGTATACTATTCAACATGTAGCAGCAAATGTGACAGAACCTGTGGTAATAAAATACCTTCCATATCTAGAGAGTTTTGCTATGTAATGAATCTCTTAAACTACAATAATCTAAAGATGAAAGGGTAATACCAGCTTCATTGTGATCACACTAACCTGAAGAAGTAACACAGCAGCTCTACATATTAATTGTTACAGTGCAATGCTGATGGGTTCATCTGTGACATGTATTAGGCTATTTGTATTCTTGTCCCAATGTTGCAATAATGTTCTCTTATGGTTAAACTTGATGCGATATAATAGTTTCCCCATGCTGCAGTGCCCATTGTGTCCTGCCATTAATCTCTTACCTATTGCTACAGCAGCCAATGAGATGGGATGAACAGAAATGGCGCCAGCGAAGAAAGGAGGAGTGACAGCAACAAGAGAAAGGTTAGAAAACACACATACACACAAAGCACAATGAATCCAAAATAAAAAGACAGACAACAGACAGCAACTATCACCCATTAAAAAGATTCAGAGTGGCACTTAAGTACCTAGGCAGTGGCAGCAAAGAAGCTTCTAGAGAAGAGTTAAAGATACAAGGCTTAACAGTATTGATGGAGCAGCCAGGCTTGTCGTCATGGGGCAACTGCGCGCTATGCTTTACCAAAGGTGCCAAAGGAGTCATGGGTTGGATTAGCAATTGGTCAAACATCAAGAGAAGGATAGCTTACCTAAGAGAGGTTTTGCTTTAATTATTTTGAGACTTTATGGCAGAAATTTGAATGTCCTCAACTCATAAAGATACCAAGAAGCAAAATGTCAAGGATTTTGGATTGTCAGTTTCTACATAAGAGATTCTAGGAACAATTATTATTCTCTTAGAAAGAAGACCCATACGTTAAACAGCTTTCAAAAAATCCCGAGGTATTGCATTTCCAATAAAAGTAATTTCTGTGTCTAGAGAGCATACATTTTTTCTTGGTTACTGCTGCATGGTTTATGTCAGGGGTCCTCAAACTTTTTAAACAGAGGGCCAGGTCACAGTCCATCAAACTGTTGGAGGGCCAGATTATAATTTGAAAAAAAAATCATGAAAGAATTCCTATGCACACTGCACATATCTGATTTGTAGTGCAAAAAAAAAAAATACTTTAAAACAATACAATAATTAGCTTCCGAGCACAATTCAATGTGCTGGTGTTGACCTATAAAGCCCTAAACGACTCCGGCCCAGTTTACCTCTCCGAACGTATTCTCCCCTATGAACCATCTAGGTTGTTAAGATCGTCTGGAGGGGCCCTGCTCTCGGTCCCACCAGCCTCACAAGCGCGTCTGGTGGGGACGAGGGACAGGGCCTTCTCGGTGGTGCCCCCTCGACTCTGGAACTCTCTCCCACTGGAGATCAGAACCCCCCTCCATTCTCCATTCTGTCGATGAAAACCTGGCTATGGGGTTTGGCTTTCGACGAGTGAATCAATATTTCTGTGATCGGATAGATGACGATGAATGATGGACAACGAATTCACTATGACGACTGACCATTGTTATTATGTGATTGCATTTTGCTGTTATAACGTTTTAATTGAATATGTTATATGATGTTTTTAATGATTGTTTTGTGATTTTATTGTTGGAAACCGGCCCGAGTCCCCCGATAGAGGGGAGAAGACCGGTATACAAAATTGCTAAATAAATAAAATAAATAAATAAAATGAAGAACAATTTTAACAAATATAAACTTACTAGTATTTCAGTGGGAAGTGTGGGCCTGCTTTTGGCTGGTGAGATAGGTTTGTTGTTATTGTCGTGTGCTTTCAAGTCATTTCATACTTAAATTGACCCTGAGTGAGGGCCGGATGAATGACCTTGGAGGGCCGTATCCGGCCCCCGTGCCTTAGTTTGAGGACCCCTGGTTTATGTTCTAGAGAATGCTAAATTTAGCAGCTCAGCAGTGGAATGCTACAGCGTTGGAAGTGTTACACCATCTCAAAACAAGAATATTCATGCCAACCAAAGGTAAAGCAATTCAAATTGGCTTCTACTGATTTGCTTAGTGTCAATCAGCGTCTGCAGTGCATCTCCAGCCCTGACAACAAAAACAACCTGAAGAACACACTGTTCTCTTCCTACAAAGGAATCTGTGGGTTCCACACCTGATGGAAATAAGATTAATGTTTCACTGAAGTTGTTAGTAGCCTCATATAGAGATAACAATTTTATTGTCTTGTTCCTGAAGGGAATGTGATCTGTTGAGTCTAACAGTCTGCAGGTCACTCCTTTCATACCATATGTAGACAACTTGAAGTCTACATGGCTTTATGCTTATTCTAGTTTTAAAATGATCAGTTCTGGAAACTTGGAAGTGGTGCTTTGACTATGCCTAGAGGGCTGGTTTGATTGGTCAAAGCACTTTCTTCCCATCCACGTCCCTGGCATGCTTTTAAGATATAACTTTGCCTGACAAAGAAACTTAATTTTGAAAGCCTGTTAGGATTTGTACATTTCTGGATAGCTGTCTAAAGCGTACAATGCAGACTTTGGAATCTGTCTTAGGGTCAACAAAGATACCTCTTCATTTGTATATTTTGCCTCTAGCTTGAATACACAGCTAAGCAAACATTTGACAGGATTTTGCAAGTTCAATCAGATGTGGTTGCTTCCCAAATCTAAGTGCTCGTACTGAAACACAATCTACCTTGTCCTTGCCTCCAGGACTCAGTTTAAATTGCGACATCAATTGTTGGCTCAATCATGAGTAAATAACACCCCCACCTCCCACCCAATCATTATGGCTGCACTGTGTTATTGTAACAGGGAACATTACTGTTTTTAAAGACTGCAAATAGCAGTCTAAGCTATAAATTCACAATTTATTTGATGTTAAACACAGCACCTTTCAATACACAAGAGTAAATTATTGTGTTCATTATTTCTGTAGTTACAAAAGCCAACTAGATGCAGGTCAAGGATGTAGCGGTCTGTGGTATCACTTATTCTTCTTTAAAATGAATTAGGTCCTGATTTGATACACCCTGGAGACTGGCTAGTCCATGCATTCAGTTACAACATTAGTGATGAAGTTGAGTCTAAAGGAGACAACTGGTAACAAAACTGGAAGCTATCCAAAACATAACACAGAGCGAAATGTTTGGAATAAGAGCCTAAAAACTACTGAAAGAGACATAGTCATGAAACAGTAGTAATTATTCTGTGTGTATGTGGATTCAAGTTGGCTGCAGACTTATGGAGACCCCACAAATTTCCTATAGTTTTCTGCATCTGGCCACAAATCTCATGTGGAAACAAATGACTGATGAACATAACAGAACTTCACAGCAGCCTAAATAGAATTGACATAATTTCCATATCTATCTTTTAATAAAGACAATGTAAGAAATATATAGCCAATATGCTCCATAAATATATTTAAAACCATTCTTTGAAATGCAAACGTGACCACAGAGATTGGCCATGTGCAGGAATTTTATCTGCTTTTGTGAGTCACAGAAGCATATAACATCAATATTCAAAAACCAATATTCAAATTTAGGTACTAAATTTATCTATGAGATTAGGGATTTGGGGCCTACAATTAGTATGGTATAGTGAACTGAGCATTGGTGTTTGAAACTAGAAACCAGAGTTGAACCTCAGCCCAATCATGGAAACCTTGTAGGTGATTTTGGGCAAGTCACTTTTTTTTTCAAAGGAAGGCACAGGGAAATTCCCTCTGAACAAAGAAAATCCTGTGATAAGTTTGCTTTAAGGTTGTCACAAATCAGAAATGACTTGAAAGCACTTAACAGAAGTTGAAGCATGTACAAGCTGCAATTTCACCTTTTGCATAACTTAAAGCGACACAGCTAGTAGCAAGGGATTCCTGCTACTAGCAATGATTTTTTTTGTTATCCTATAGCTGTTTGTAAGAGCAACTGAAGCAACCCATCATGTTGGCCTGCTAATATACGTGTAAAATGCAGCAGTGGTGCCACTTGGGCTTGGAATTATGACCAGTGTTGCATCACTGACATCCGGAATATCATATGAGAATTGCTGTTCAAATTTATATGAGACAGAGAGACAGTAATTGGTTCCCAAGAGAATTCTGCCCTCTGAAAAACACTGAGATCATGTTGTTATTTAGTTTCCATAACCAGGCCAAATAAAGTTCTATTTGCTTGGAAGGAATTCATCAAAAACACTACATTAACATATGTTAGACAGGTATGCACATCTCTTAACACTATCATTTAATCCAAGATTGAGCTGGCAATTCTGCTATGTTTTTACAACAGCAACAGTTTAAGAAATGCAATGCCTAATGGCAAGGTTTAGTCATCACAGGCTGTTCCTAGCATTTAATGACCTAATCATGGATGCAGCCATATTCAATTGACTGTATTAGCTCTGTAGTGATATATAAGACCCCCTTAAGATCAGAATATATTACAATCCACTTTTCCATAGATCAGGGGTCCCCAAACTACGGCCCGCGGGCCACTTCTGGCCCGCCAAGGAGGCCCGCGGAGGAGGAGCACCTCCCACACAGTGCCCCTCCCTTGGCTGGCTCACGCTATCCATGAGGCAGCGTGAGCCAGCCAAGGGCAGCTGCTCCGCATGGCCTACTCACACATAAAGCACCTCACCAGGTGCCTTACGCGCGAGTAGGCCTCAGGTGCTGCTCCTCCCTTGGCAGGCTCACGCTATCTGTCAGGCCTGATGGGCAGCGTGAGCCAGCCAAGGGCAGCTGCTCCGCGTGGCCTACTCGCTTTACGCGCAAGTAGGCCACGCGGGGCTGCTCCTCCCTTGGCAGGCTCACGCTGCCCATCGAGTCCGATGAGCAGCGTGAGCCAGCCAAGGGAGGCTGCCCCAGCACTCAATGCAGTCATGCCGGCCACATGACCTTGGAGGTGTCTACGGACAATGCCGGCTCTTCAACTTAGAAATGCAGATGAGCACCACACCCCAGAGTCAGACACGACTGGACTTCATGTCAGAGGAAAACCTTTAACTAGGAAAATTGTGGAAGATCCAGGGTGGGAGAAAGAACTCTTGTCTGTTGGAGGTAGGTAGGAATGTTTCAATTGGCCACCTTGATTACCATTTCATAGCCTGACAGTTTTTAGGGAGAATCCTTTGTTGAGAGGTGATTAGCTGGCCCTGATTGTTTCTTGTCTGGAGTTCCCCTGTGTTTGAGTGTTGTTCTTTATTTACAGTTATAATTTTAGAGTTTTTTATACTGGTAGCCAGATTTTGTTCAGACTAGAAATAGGAAGATTGCCCATTCTCTGCTCCTGGAATTACTGCCTAAAGAGGGCTAGAAAGAACCCCCTCTAAGGGCCCTTCCACACAGCAAAATAAGATATGTGCAATGTGCATAGGAATTTTTTATTGATTTTTTTTTTAAAAAAAAAACCTGTAGTCCGGCCCTCCAACGGTCTGAGGGACAGTGAACTGGCCCCCAGTTTATAAAGTTTAAGGACCCCTGCCATAGATGGTTTGGAGGAATAAAATGTTTTTCTATGCCTTCAAGTCAATACCAACCTGTGGAAATCTATTCACAGGGCATTCTTGTCGGAATTTATTCAGAGGTTTGCCACTGTCATCAAAGGTTGAGAGTGTGATCTATCCATTGACTTTCCATAGATATGCAGAGAATTGAACCCTGATCTCCTAGAATCCTAGTCCAGCATCCAAATCATTAGAAGATGCTGGCTTCATGCAACATATACATAACTATACAAGACAATGCTCAACTCTCAGGGCTGTGTCCGATTTTTACATGCTAGTCTGATATATGCCTACATATAGATATGCTGAGCCTTCCCACCCCAACTGTCTGAAATCATGCAGTTCACAGAGTCTTTGCTTTCTCCCCCACCCCCTCCTCCATTTGAGGCAGACAGATGCTTCTCTGTGAAAGCATTTGAAGCTGAGCATAAATGCTATGGGTTCTCAACTCCTATGCAACAAAGAAATTAAAAATAGAAATATCAAGATTGCTGAAAGCCCCTTCCGCAAGCCACCTCTGAAAAGAGAACTGATGTGTTGTGTAGTGATGGCAGCACAAAACAGCTGAAGGAGTTGTACTGAAACTCGAAGCTCATGCAGGCAGGTAGGCATGCTATTGGCAGAAAGACAAAACACCCTTTGTCTTCCAGAATTCAGCTGTGAGCTTACCCACAGCCCATATTAGTAAAGGTGGTACATGTCTAGGCACCAAGCAGTAAGTGCCACCTGAACTTCTCTTCTGTGGATTCAGAAGGGTACATACTGCATCCATAAAGAGCCACCAAGGATAAAGTAAATCAGGGAAATTTTCATTTTCTTGATGAAAAACATAACTGGAACCAGCATAAAATATTTTACCAAGTTTACCAACCCATCAAGCCAAAACTCAACTGTGTCACTCCTTTGTGCTCAACAAAATTTGTTAAGGATTCTGATCCTTCTGATCACCTGGAATATTAATTAACTTTCAGCAGTGATGGGGAAAAAGCTATTAATAAACTTGAACTAAATGTTAACCTCCAGCAACCTACTCAAAATGTGCAAAGACAACATTAATTCCTATTTTGAAGACATATTTAGCTTTTAGTTGCCAAGTTCTTATATTTAAAGCAAAGTCTCCAAAGCTATAAAGCAAGATTAGGGTGTTTTCACACAACCCAGTAAAAGGCATAGTAAACAATATATTTCAAAGCTGGACATGCCTCATAAGCTGACTCCAGAAAAGATACCTAAGGCCAAATCAAAGGTTTAGCCTCAAGAAGTTACTTTCATTATGCTTACAGAAGAGATTGGTTATAAACACTTTAAATCCTCCCACAAATCACATAACACTGCCTTTTTCAGGGAACGAAGTGATACTTCCAAGAAATAAGACTTAAATTGAGATTATCATGCTTATAGATGTTATATTATCTAACAAGATTTACTGGAAAAGGATCTACATGAAGACACGTTAGAAAATGACTGAACAGCAATTTGTTCCTGGATATTTATAAGAAAGCAAGACAAAAATGATCTAAGAAGCTATGTTTTTCTATGGTAGTAGTAGGAAAAATATGTCAACGTTGAAATGATGTGATTGAAAACTCCAGTGTGTGTTGCAATAGTATTTCACAACTTTTAAGAGTCTGACCAGTCACTTAAAGGTTCAAAGCTCATCCACCCTAACATACAGCAGATAAGGCTAAAGGCTAAACACAGAACAGCCTAAATATGGACCACAAGAAAGACTAATGATGAATCAATGTTCTGCAATTGAGAAACAGGAAACTTAGTTAAATGAACAGAAGACTGCTGTATAGGGAAGAATTTCCTATGTGACATTTGAATGATAACTCAATTTGTCAAAAGACTAGACAATAAAAGAAGAGAGGAACTGGGCCAGCTGTTCCTCGAAAAAAGAGCTGAAGAGCTAGCTAAATATTTGTGATTATACAGGGTTAATTCTTGTAGTTTGCTCATTCATCCAGTCTTCTAGTTAAACAGTTATTCCAAAATATAATGTAAATACCCACTACTGTAGCCATATACATAAATAACTCAACACTCCCTATTTTAATACTGAACTGCAACAGAAAGGCTTTGTGTTGCTTTATCTCATGGTTAGTACATAACTAGGACAGCAGAAACATGGAAGGCACAAGAGGCTTGGCAAGCAGAACAATAAGTATGCTACCACCCTTTAGCAATGAAGACTGATAACAAGGCAAGGGCATCATGCAGCTATGGGCCTGCATATATCCACCACATCTATTTTCCCAGTTTTTCATCCCTTCCTCTGTTTAGAGGATGGGCTGCCTCATGTTGAACTTTCAGGAGAGGCCATTCACCTTTTAAATAGGCTTCAGGGCTCTCTTGCACAATTTAACATGAAAAATATCTCTTTGCAAGACCAGTAATGGACCTCTGATCATCCTGTAGATTTATTGAACATCCTGGTTTCTAATGCCAAACCTGCAGGTACGTCCCCTTTTCAGTATCAAAGAAATTCCCTCATTTTTCTTTCCTACAATTTTAGATACAGCCCAAACAAGCAATATCTGTCTACAGTATTATCCTTTAAGAGAAAAGAAAACACTCATCTTAACAATGAAGTCATTAAGACAGATCTGTATTTGTAGACTTAGCTTGCCTTGTATGTGCTATCTTTTCCAGAGCAGACATGCATGTAACATTGCTGTTAACTACACTTAAAATAATTAAACTGCTGCAAAGTCTCAAAATGGAAAACAAAAACTTCTGAGATGTCAGAGCCCAACCAAGAAACAGAGAGTAGAAGAATTTACTACCATTCGAACTCAAAGTTTTACTATTCAGTTTCTATGCAGTTTTATAATCTTTCTGAAGAACTTTTCCAAGTAGAATCCAGACAGCATATAAGAAAAGCTGATTTCACCAATGCTGCCTTCACAGCCACTGCCAGGGAATGACACAAGACAATACATATCAGGAGATGTAGCGGTATGGACACAGCCTGGATGCAATGGCTAGCAAACAGTCTTGACATGCACAAACAATTAAAGCTGCAGCTCACAAATTACAAGACGTAGGGTTTGAGTGCAGAATGAAAGCAGGATGAAGATGTGGTCAATTACTTACCCAATGTCATCTCTGTAGACTCGAGAGATTAAAACCTCTCCCTTATGGTTATAAATGAATAGGCCTCCAATCATGATGATATCTTACACTTCTTTTTTCATGGTGCTTGGGTCAAATCTACAGGGAAAAAAGGTAATGTCAGATTTACAAAACATATTCAGGACAACAACAGTTGATCTAGCAAATTCTGTTTAAGGTAATCAAGAACATGATTGCATCCATTCATGGCCCACAATACTGGTTTGGAAGCTTCCGTATAGAGCCTTCTGGCACTGCAATATTTTATAAGGTGGTTCAGTAAAGCCTTTTATTATGAGCTCGGGTCAACAATAACATCCGATGGAGGAAGAACATTCCTGGTCTCTACATAGCAAGCTCTTATTTATAAAAAAGATTGACTTAGTAGTTACCTATATAGAACTACATGGATATATGTCAATCCAACTCAGAGTTCACAAGTAACACAAACTTCTGCAACGTGGAATAGCGGTCTATACTTCAATATTTTCTACTATATCAGGTTATCTTTAAATCTAGGGGTAGCTAGTAGATGTCTCCCAACTAAGTCTCGCTGCTCAGCAGGGAGTGTTTCTGAAATAGGGAATCATTAAATTTTCTCCCTGAAAACCAGTGAGTCTTATAATATAATCTCCATTTGGACAATGTGCTGAGAAATATGGTGAATACACACAATACTACTTATAACAGAACATTTTTGTATTGTTTTGGCTATGACTATATGGCCCCTACCACTCTCAACAGCTCTAAAAGGGGACAATCAGCTTGTACTTCTAGTTTATCTTAGCAGTAAACACATGAATTAAGACAGTTAAAAAGCAGATAATGAATTTAATGTATGCATGATGAGCTTAATTTAAAAACAAAGGCAGAGAACTCATTTTTCCTCGATATCTTGGAAGTAAACAGATCTTCACCTCTTTACCCCTGTAAGAATTGTCCCTACCTGCCTGCACAAACCACTGCTTTTTCAGATAAACGCCTACTGATGCCTATCTCCAGCCAGAGACTTAAATTCAATTATTGCCCAAACCAAGAGACCCAACGCATTAACTGTTCAATGGTATGTCAGCAACAATGTAAAACCCACTGATTCAACTGGCCTTTTCTAGTTGAAATTTGCATTTGGATTGGGGTCATGCACAGCACAGGGAGAAATAAGTATGCTTTTAGTTAAATATTCAAAGATGATGCACTCTATTTGCAGAAGTAGCACCAGTTTTCAAAAATCCATTCCATCTCTGATCTTGACAAGCAAGAGGAATGCTAACTTTGATTATGAAAAATGAGACTGTGTTATGCTGGCACACAGCAAAAAAGATATGTCGCAAAATTTAATTTGGGAGGAGAGAGACTAGCAGGAAACAAACTCTAATGGGGAATCACGGTACTTGATATACAACCCTTCCCTTTAATTATTCTATGGGAAGGACAGGCTGTTGCATGGAATAGACATATATTTACTTCACATTACAACTCCCCTATACCCGTGAGGCATACATTCCAAGAATCTGTATGGATGCCTGAAACCACGGATAATATCAAACTGTGTATTCTGATAATACCTGGGTCAGAAACGTATCACACAATTGCACTGGAGGAGTTAAGAACCTCATGAACACTTCCAAGGGGGATGGAATGTGGATAAAGTGAAACATGGATATTGAATCTCTCCAGATAAGGGGGGCATAATTTATTTTTGTTGACCAGTAGAAGTTATTATATGTTAATGGTACTTGACATAATGTGTGAAGCCATTGGGAAGCACGGTCATACCACTTGGTGTTATGTAATACATTAGGCTACGTAGGCCAATGGATTTTCCTAGAAAAGAAAGTCACTAAGATATAGCACTGAGAAGCTCATTCAATAAGTAAAAATAAATATTAAATACATAAAGGCAACTCAATATACACAATAAGTTTGCGCGGTTCACATCAGAAGACATGTTACATTAGATCAGGCATGGGCAAACTTCAGCCCTCCATGTGTTTTACTCAACTCCCAGAAATTCCAGCCAGCTTACCAGCTGTTACTAACTGTAGGAGTTGAAGTCCAAAACAACTGGAGGGCCGAAGTCTGCCCATGTCTGCATTAGATACATCAGCAGAATGATGCATGAAATCTGCTTGCCAAGATTTGACTCATGCAAGGATGAGTCACATTTCCAAGTAACTGTTCTTATTGTTTGGAAGGAAGCTTTGTTTTAGGAGTTCTCCCTAGAATAATGTGTGGTAATACTGAAGTTTATTTAAGTAAATCAAAATAGAGCCTATAGAATAGGGTAAAGGTGTTCAATTAAACTATAATATCCCCATTTCAATGAGGCTGTGGAAATTTGCAACACTGAATTAGGGAATCAGATGCAATTCTGTATGGAAATCTTAAATTACAGAGTAAATTTCTGCTAAAGCAACAGATTTCTACAGCTAGTAGGGTACCCTTGCATTTATTATTGTATTTACTTGAATCTAATGCGCTATCCAATATAATTTTCAAAACCTTGAAACGTAAAAAAGAATTTGCTGACAAACATAATGCACAGCAGCAAAAAGTTCACTCTTTATAATTTGACCAAAAAGGCATGTGTTACAGCTACTGTGCGCTTAGAACGCCTTTAAAAACAACAATATTAGAAGACATAAAATTTCATCATGTATACTCCAGTTTTCTCTAGCACAGTGGTTCTCAACCTATGGGTCCCCAGGTGTTTTGGCCTACAACTCCCAGAAAACCCAACCAGTTTACCAGCTGTTAGGATTTCTTGGAGTTGAAGGCCAAAACATCTAGGGACCCACAGGTTGAGAACCACTGCTCTAGCACTTGCTGAAGCTAAAGTGACTAATTTATTGGATCAACAGATTCTACACAAACTAAATAACTGAAATGAGTTCTGAGGTAAAAAAAGATTATTTATTATACTTATTTACCGGTACTTATTTACTTTATTTCTACCTTGCCTTTCTCCCCATAGGGACTCAAGGCAGCTCATAATTACATGACATCGTCCAATACAATTAAATGATACAATTAAAATTGCATTTAAAACTAAATATCCTCCCCAACTCCCCCAGCAGTGTGCCCCTCATTCTCTCTCAAATACCTGCTGGCACATCAAGGTCTTGACCTGCTTGTGGAAGGGGGCCATCTTGGTATCTCCATTTGGCGTGGGAGTTCCAAAGTCTGGGAGCAGCCAGCAGAAATGCGCTCTCCCTTGTTCCCACCAAATGCACTTGAGCAGGTAGTGGGACAAAGGGCCCTCACCAGAGGATCGTAGATTTCTAACACTTCCATAGAGAGAGAGATGGTCCTTCAAGCAACTTGGATCTAAGACATACAGGGCTTTATAAGTCACAGAGAGGAAGCCACAGGGAGGAGGGAGCAAGCTTGTTTTCTGCTTCCTTGGAGACTAGGACGCGGAACAATGGCTTCAAACTACAAGAGAGGAGATTCCATCTGAACATGAGGAAGAACTTTCTGACTGTGAGAGCCGTTCAGCAGTGGAACTCTCTGCCCCGGAGTGTGGTGGAGGCTCCTTCTTTGGAAGCTTTTAAGCAGAGGCTGGATGGCCATTTGTCAGGGGTGATTTGAATGCAATATTCCTGCTTCTTGGCAGAATGGGGTTGGACTGGATGGCCCATGAGGTCTCTTCCAACTCTTTGATTCTATGATTCTATGAAAACCAGCACTCTGAATTGTGCCCAGAAACAGGTTAGTAGTCAATGGAGCTATTGCAATAAGAGGGTTGTCCACTCCCTTTAGCCAGACCCAGTTAATAACCTGGCTGCTGCTCTTTGGACCAAATGAAGTTTCTGAGCACTTTTCAAAGGCAGCCCCACAATGAGCTCATTACAGTAGTCCAGACAGGATCTAACCAAGGTATGTACCACTGTGGCCAGAGCTGACTTTTCCAGGAACAGGTGCAGTTGGCACATTAGCTTTAATGGTGTAAAAGCACTCCTGCCCACTGCTGATACCTGGGACTCTAGGATCAGAGCCAAATCTCTGATGAACCCCAAACTGCAAACCTCTGTTTTCAGGGGGAGTATGAACCGATCTAACAGAGGCCAAATCTTATTTTCAGATCTCTTTCAACTGACCAAGCACCCTTCCTGGTTTATGATCCCAAGTTTTCTGTTTATACCAGATTATCTGGCAGTGGGGACTCATATAATCAGAAAAACTGGGATCAGCTCCTGGGATACAGGTTCTGTCTGGAAGGGCCCCAAGAGCACCTCTTTCCTGTCTGGATTAAGCTTTAATCTGTTTACCCTCATCTAGTCCATTACAGCTGACAGACACTGGTTTAGCACAGGAACAGCTTCCTTGGAATTAGGTGGAAAGTAGTTAGTAGAGTTAGGTGTCATCTGCATATAGATGACCTCTACCACCGGTTTCAAACCTTTTATCTTAACCGTCACACAGTGCTGCGGAAGAGAGGTTGCATACAATATCCTTGCTCATTGCCCATAATTCACCTGAAATACTGCCCTGGATACACAATATTGTTGTTACAGTTAAAGCCACACACATTTTGTTCCCTAGCTCACTAAATGAAACAAACAGAACCAGTATGCATGTCAACCAAATATAATGGGAATCAAGTAAAGCTCTAGGTTTTGTAGAACACACCGCATGCTCATTCACATTTGTCAGCAAGCCTTCTGTACAGCCCAAGGGTATTTCAACCTAGTAATTGTTCAATGCAAACCTTGGCTCTGGAAGATCAAGCGGGAGTTTACACCTTTCCAGGAAAAACAAATGTCTTTCCTGAAGCTTTGTGACTGTTCCAATATGGGTAAGATAATGGATGATGTCCTCAAATGCAGTGACATGGTCTCAATATTTACTTCTATATAAAGTATGGTTAAGTCCTAGCAGTTTGAAGCAAAATGTAATGGAAATACTTCTTACATGACTTACGTCAGAAACGGTAATCCAGAGAGGTTCTTTGAAATCATAATTAAGGCTATGAGGGATGTAGTGCAAGGTGAAATCTTTGCTATATTTAGCTTTTTCAAAAGGAACAGTCTGAACAATGGTTCATTACTACAGCAAACAGAGTAGCAAAACTGGAGTAGCTAAAGCCTAATAACATA